GACGACGAGCCATCCTCCAAAAACTGCGCGGCAATCGGCAGCGTCGCCGGCCGGCAGCGAGAGGAGCTTCGAGATGGCGCTCTCGTGCTGCTTCGGCACGCCTGCCCGCCACTCACTGGGCCAGTCGGGAAGCGGGAAAGGATGAGGAGGGTGAGCGCCCATGAGGGGAAGACAAAGAGAAGAGAGATAGGTGGTGCCCACGGGAGGGGAATTCGTTAGCCCCGAGGAGGGTTCGATCCCCGCCCCAGGGGCCCCGACAGGGTACCTTCTAAAAAAACTCGTCCTCGGAGTGGGCCTCCGGCCATCCTACCAAGGGAACGAGCATGCTCCTTGTTGAAGACAAAACTCTGGCACAAATCTGCCATACAGGGACAAGTGCGGTTCAAAAGCACGGGGGCAGCGACGCCCGTCTTGGCCCCAGCTGGGTGAGGCCTCCACGTCCTGGGGCGAGCCCCAAACAAACCCCGAGCCTCCCGACCAGAATAAAAAAGCTCACAGGAGGGGCGCGCAATATGGCCACTACCCTCACCTACCGCGTTACTCTGGACATCCGACACATCAGTGGTTTCATGGAACGTGCCAGAACCAGGAATATTTGATAATTCCAGGGACGCGCGAGGCATGGGAAGTGTTCAAGAACTGTTCCCCGTTACCAGGGAGGACATATGCGCGGTCCATCGCGAATAGGGTACAGCATGGGCCTGGGAGGATGTCTGGGGCTGGCTCGAACCAAAACTCACTTTTAAGGCTCGAGAGGCAAATATGGACAGTTTAGGAAGCACGAGGTCTGTGATAACTAACAGAATGAGGAATACCAGTCTGGCTGGGAAAATGACTCCTAAATACGAAGCTGATTGATATCAACAAGACCCGGCATGTGAGTTTCAAAGCCCTCAGAACAGCCTGAATCTCAACTCCTGAGTTTCAACTCTACTGGGGGACGGGTGCCGGGGTGGCTCTGCCGGGGTAGGGGGGGGAAAGGGGGGTCGATTAAATTCCCGTGGCGGAATTGGAATTCCAGCTCACTCAAGGACGGCCCCCTCGCCCAGGAGGGCCCCAACATGGGCCGAGAAGGCCCCGAATCGCCGAACGATCGCTACAAGACGCCCAACATGTCCCCAAGACAGTTCCAGAAGCCTCCTAAATGCCCGCAGACGCCCTGAAAAGGCTTCCAAAAGAAACAGCATGTGTCCCTTTCCCTCCGGGAAAACGTGCAATTTAGCGCATTCCCGTCTTGGGCCTTCAAAGCGTCGCTGACGCCCCAATAGAGCCCCAAAACAGCCGAAGAAGCCGCAAAGAGAGGCTCCGAGACGGCCCAATAAGGAGGGCCCAAAATGGCCCAGGAGGCCCCCAGGCATGCCCAAGTGGGCCCCAGGACGGGCCCGAGAGGGCGCCACGACGGCGGAAAAACTGCCGATGACGGCCCAAGAAACCCCTAGCAGGCCCCCGGAGGCTCCCAAGACGCCTGAACAGGCCCCACGACGCTTCCACTTGGCCCCGAAGCGGCCTCCTGAAGCCCCGAAAAGACCCCAAGAGTCTCAAAACACGCACCCAAGACGCCTTCTGGAGGCCTCCAAGTTGCCTCCAAGACCCCCCCCGAGAAGCCTCAACCGGCCCCACGACGCTTACGTCCGAACACAAGCGCTGCATTACAAAAGTTTGTTCCACGTTTTCACATCCCCTGCCGTCCCCGGTGCGCTTCTCATCCATGATCTCACAAGAGCCCGCACAAGACCGCGCGAAGACCCCAGACACCCCAAAAACACCATGGTTCCCAGCAGAGACCGGCGATGCACAAGGCCCCACAAAGAACTGCGACGCAGACGGCCCCAGCACAAAGTTTTTCAGAGAGTGCGCCAAATCGGCGAGGTGTCAACCCGAAGAGGGCCAACACCAGGGCCCAAAGAGGTTTTCCAACAACCGCCGAACATCTGCAACAACCGCCCGAAATCTTTTCATCCTCGTCATGTTCCTCCTTATCCCCTTCCCCCTTTTCCACTTCCCGTTTCCTCCTGCTCCTCCTCATCCTCAGCATCCTGCTACTCCTGCCCCTCCCCCCGTCCAACCCCCTCCACCTCATCATGATCCTCCTCCTTTTCATCATCACCCTACTTCGTCGCCTCCATTCCCAATCCTCATCATCATCCTCACAGCTCGCCGTCGCCGCCGGTCATGACCGCCATCGTGCGTTTCCGGCAGCAATGGAAGCGTCCCGGATCGGCGGCAGTGGCCGGGGGCCACCAGAATACGAGGTATATTGATATCAACAAGGGTGACCAGGCCAATCTTGAGTACCGTTTCTGGCTGGTGGCTCAACAAATTAAGTACAATTCCAAACAGAAGAACAGATTTGCAGCCACCCCTCTGTTCGACGCCCCAAAACTGCTGTTCTCCATGGAGTTACAAAGGGAACAGGGTATAACCGACGGGAGCGTGAGAGAGGACACAAGCGTGGGTTTACTGATGTTGAGGCAGCATACGTTTACGCCAAGGCCAACAAGAACACATTCATCAGGTTACCCGACTAGCTGCTGAAGTCCATGTACGGCAGGGAACCGCCGGCAACTGGGAAAACTGTCGCGTGGACTTGTCCCATCCTGGCTTCTAGCCAGCATGTTTGTTCTGTCGGCGGCGAGGCAGAGTTGGCTGCACCAGCGCTGGACGGGGGCACCGAAAAGCGATGTGGCCAGCATGCAAGAGTGGGAAGAGGGCAAAGCGGGCGGCCGCGAGGGGGGAGGAAGGCTTCTGGCCAGCAAGAGTGCACAAAAAAGTGTGATCGTAAACTTGACGTTCAGGTCCAGAGAGAGATCGGTCTTGAAAAGGATCTGCCCTCCGTCCGCGCAAGAGCTGCAGAATGTGAAAGCCCTTGTCGTAAGGTTTGCGGGAGCTGTGGGAGCCTCAAGCGAGAGCCCCATTACAAAAAAAAGTCAGCCATTCGTGAGAAACGGCCCTATCTGAAGCTATCTCACGCGGGAACCCCATTTTGATAACAGGCCGCACAACATCCGTGCACGTGACGGCTGGAATCGCTTGAGGCGAATGCGCGTGGCGCAAAAGCGAGACCCACATTTGGAAAGCAGCCAACTCTCTATCCGTGCACCTGCTGTCTATAAGGAGCAGGGATAAAATGACGACGACGAGGTCGACGACGACGACGCCGACAACGAAGGCCACGAAGAGCAGGGTGGCGGCGGTGGCGGCGACAGCGAGGACGACGACGATAGCGACGACGAGGCCGAGGAACAGATGTTTCGTGCCAGCGAGCGGCGAGGCGACTCCACCGCGAGCGCGCTGCTAGCACGAGCACCACCAGCTCCACTGGGCCGCCGGCGACCGCAGGTGCTCCTCCACCAGGAACCCCTGGCCGACCAAGGAGCCCGAAAAAACTTCTGCCCTGGCTGCCTTCGTCACGGGAGACGATCGAAAACAAACAAACAAAACGGCATCAGTGGCCCCGTGTTCCCAGGCTTGGACCTACACAGATCCGGCTCGAGCCCCAGGACCAGCAGAAACCAACCCGCGGGTGAACGACTTGCCCCCGGGGAAGGCGTCCGGCATCGTCTAACCGATCCCTGTCCCCGCTGGCGTGGTCTCGGCCCGACCAGCCGACTTGCACACCTGGGCCGAGATACGTGCCTGCTTCTTCGGGTTTCGCAGGGCCTATCCCCACTCAGGAGGGTCCGCTGTTTAGGCTGAGGTACCATGGCCCAGCGGGGTTGGGGGTAGCTTGAACGATGCTCTCAACGTCGAATGCGCCAGGGGGCCACGTAACGAAAAAAAATCACGTCGGAGGCCTGGGAGCATTACCAGAATCGGCCAACCCTGCTTCCTTATGTTTTGCCTCTCCAGGAAATCATGGGAGATCCCCTGAGGTCTGGAGAGCTCCTGGGAGATCAGGAAGAGCGGCAGGGTCGATCCCAAAACCCCCCCAAATGCCACTCTGACCCGAGTCAGGAGAGCCCAGAATCGAATCGACACGTCGAATCGGCAGTCAAAATTAGTCGAATCGGCGAAAATCGGCAGCCAGGGTAGTAGGGTCGAATCGGCTGGAATCGGAGAGTAGTAAGGCCTCATTGAGAAACCGGAATCCAAATCGGAGTCTGAAGTCGAATCGAATCGGAATAGGAATCCATCGAAATCGAATCGAATCGAATCAAAAAAGTTGAAACGAGCCCTGCGAGTCCTCGTCCAGACCGATAGTGCACCTCACGAGGTCGCCGTTGTCGCAGTCGGCACCGCAGAGCTCGTCGGCGGCGCACACAAGGGGGGGGGCGAGGGGGGGCGGCCTTCTCAGAAGGGCACGGGGGCTTCCGGGAAGGCATCTCGGAACACGGGAGGGCTTTAGGGAGCCCTCTGCCTCGTCCTCCTCCTCCTCCTCCGCCTCGTCATCATCAGAAGAATCAGCATCATCATCATCATCATCATCATCATCATCATCATCAGCCATCAGCATCAGCATCAGCATCATCATCATCATCATCATCGTCGTCGTCAGCACCATCACCATCACCATCACCATCACCATCACCATCACCATCACCATCACCATCACCACCAGCATCAGCATCAGCATCATCATCATCAGCATCATCGTCATCCTCATCATCATCATCATCAGCAGCAGCATCAGCATCAGCATCAGCATCACCATCATCGTCAGCATCAGCATCAGCATCAGCATCAGCATCATCATCAGCAGCAGCACCACCATCATCACCACCACCACCAGCATGAAAATCAGTATCATCATCATCATCATCAGCATCAACATCATCACCACCATCATCATCGTCATCGTCATCGTCATCATCAGTATCATCATGCTCATCATCATCATCACCATCTTCATCATCAGTAACATCAGCATCATCATCAGCATCATCATCAGCAGCATCATCATCACCACCACAGAAACCATCATCATCATCATCACCATCATCAGCATCAGCAACATCATCATCAGCATCATCATCAGCATCACCATCATCAACATCATCACC